CTCTCTCCCTTTCTCTCTCTTGCTCTCTTTTCCCGTCTCTTTCTCTCTCTCTCTCTATCTCTCTCTATCTAGCTTTCCCTCTCTCTATCTATCTCTCTATCTCTTTCTGTCTTTCTCTCTATCTATCTCTCTATCCTTCTATCCATCTATCTATCTATCTATCTATATATATACATCTATCTTAAATGTTCCGACTTTTCTCCACATATTTCATCTCCCTGCAGCAAAGTAATACAATCAGCTCATTAATTTCTTCTCACTACAATATTCCACCCCTATTCCATGCCTGGATTTTCCCCTTTCCGTCTTCTTCAGAAAACAAAAAGAACTGGAACCGAGACTTGAGGCGGTGTGTGAGCCAAACCGCCCGCTCACCAGATGGCCTCAACAAGGACCGCTCCGTTTAGATACACGCAATTTCATGTGACACTTTAATCCGCGCGCCAAGCAGGTCTAATAGGATACACAACAAGAGCTGGAGGGGCAGACAATGAATCTGCCATCGCGTCTCCGGCAGTTAATCAGATGCGCCTCCCAGGAGCTCCTACGTACCCGACATAATAAGTAAATGGGCACAGAAATGAACGGAGGGGGCGCGATTATCTGGCCTACACATTTTCGACGCTGCTGCATGATTGCTTTTATTTATTTATTTCTTTTTTTATTCATTCATTTATTTATTTATTCATTCATTCATTTACTCATTCATTCATTCATTTCTTTATTTATTTGAAAGGGTTTTTAAAAAATATATTATGTACCTGTTGGTTTTTTGCTGTTGTTTATCTGTTATTAAAATAAATTTCAAGCAATATAACAAAGGCCCATTTCTCGACATACAGTGCTTCTTTGTTGTTCATGCGATTGGGGGTGGGGGGCTGTTTGTAAAGGTGGAATGGGTGTAAGAATGGTGGTCGAGTTTTCTATTCCAGCAAGTCACTAAGACCCTATTCATTTTCGCGCATCTTCCTGTGTGGGGTTTTTTTTATTATTCATTTCTGATTTTCACCACACAAAAAAACTATTTCTAGTAAATCAGTTACACTCAAGCAAAACTCGGTTGGTGCTTCTAAATGCCCTGTGTAAGCAGTTAAAATAGTGTCAGTGTTCTTCCCTGGGATGTTTTGCTCTCCTTTTTTCTAGCTGAAATCTTTAAACCTCCTCCGATTCCTTTCTTGCTCCCCTTTTTTTTCTTTTCACGTTTACCTGATAGGTTACTGATAACCAATTGCCCTCCCCCCCCC